AAACCACACTGAAATGTCTTAAAAGCCCCAAGTATGCTATTATCAAAATATGGAGTTTATATAGTTTTTAAAAAGTACAAAAGTTCTTCCCGAACAGAATTCTAAAAAATAATATTTTCCAACCAAACTAATGAACATGGAGAACTAAGAGAAGACAAGTTCTCTAGCTGGTGACCTGCATTCTGCTCTCCACCGTTTAGGACACTATAGTTTCATGGAATGAGGTCTCCAGCGACAAAATCTCCATAAAGCCAACCCCACAAATGGCCAATGGAGTGTGGTATTACATAATTCCTAGCCTCTGCTTCAGTTAACAAGAGGGAGGATGATGGTAATGTGTAGAGATGAAACCCCAGGATCTTGGAGGGTAGGCTGGAAAGCTCTGGAGTTGAGTAGAATAAGGGATGGCCTGAATCAAGGATGGTAAATAAGGTAGAGTGAAAACTCACAAAATAATTAAGTAACAAAAAGGGAATGAGCAGACAAAAGCAAAACAGTGAGAGACAGATCTATAGAAATTACCAAATCAACCATGTGGCCTTTAGAATGAAGGGATCATTCATGTGTTGCAAAAGATTAAGTGAATCTGCAAGAGCCATGAAACCTCACTTTGCTGGAAAGAATTGAAAGCTGCACAAGAATTCAACTAGCACACCAACAAATATCTGGTGATATTGCCAGGAGTTCAAAGACGCTTTTTAGTGGGAAACTGGTACATTTGGGGAAAAAGGCTTAGGAGTTTTTAGGAACAAGACACATAACAACAACTTTATAAATACAAAAAGACAAGTAGATGGTGAAAAACTTACTGGAGTGGGGATTGGGGAGAACCTACCTGAACTAACAGAATTTGAGAACATAAATCATCCAGGATAATTAATGATGATTTCATACCACCTTATTGAACTCTTCAGTAAGTCAACTCTTCAAAACTATCAGAAAAGTTTTGCATGTGGTGTTCTTCATCTGAGAAAAATAATCTGTTTCAGGACAGATTATTTTTTCATTCAGTCAGGTTTATTTTCTCCCACTTGCATTAGAATGGTATTGATAAAGTCTGCTCCATTCATCATTATTCTACAGAAGAAAAGGCACTGTTCACGTACCAGGTCTTGCCTTAACCACAGAGAGATACAACAGAAGTGGGATTAAGAAAATAACACACACATACACACACACATACACACACAGAGAATAGAGTAAAACTCCATTTGTAAAAATAAAGACTTTTGAGTGTTGTTTTCAGGATTCTGATAGTATCTCTTGAGGGAAATAACATTAAAAGCTCATCTGCCAAGGCAAGTGACTAATTATTTGGAACACAATGAATATAAACAGTGAGGCTAGAGTTCAGACTTAGGAAAAAGAGAACATAGGTACTTTCTTAATGTCAGGATCAGACAAGTGGTAACTCAGCAAAAACAAAACAAAACAAAAAACCCAACAAGAAACCATAATGGCTACAATTAGAAGAGGCCACCCATGATGACACATCTGGAGCGGAGTCAGATGCTGTGAATAAAATGTTCAGTCAAGATGATGCTAAATGGTCAATGAAGTTGTAGTGGAAAAGGATTTAAATCTAGAGGATTAAGAAAATTCAGGAATCTCCACAGAAATTTCTGCTGTGGTCAAAGGCATTGCTATGGGTGGTGGATATTATGTTCACCCCCAAGTTTCTCTCAGAGCTGTCCCCTCAACAGGACACACAGGTATATTCATCATTACAATAACCATTGTCTTAGAGCAGACAAGGCATGGTGAAGGGTGCAGAAGATAAGGATTTCATTCTCAGGTTTCTCCCCAACCCTCTCAGTTTGGTGTCCCTCTAAGTTCAGTCATTAACAAGATGGGCAGATATGTCACATTCAGGAAATGCACAGAGGTTAAATAGCCTGCTGCCATCTGTCCCTGATTAAGAACTATCGTTGGGCTTGGAGCAACATTGAAAGTATTTCTCTAGGCTGGGCAGTGAATACACTCATCTGACATGGTTGACAGCTGCCCTCCTGTCTGAGTCAATGTCCTCACTCAAAATAGTTTTATACTAACATTCTTATAGGAAGGATTCCAGAGGTAGCAATAAGCCAGGAGAAAAATATGGAGTTCTGGTAAAGGAAGATAAAGATGTTTTTCCAAAGACATATTTAAACTGATGTACAAAAGGGTCACTGAGTCTTGCACACTGCCAAGCATACACTGCTAAGCTGATGTCTCATGTCACAGCTCAGATAGGCATGTTGGAGCCTCAGCAACGAGCCCACAAACAACCAAGTGATTGCTATTCCTTCCTTCTGAAATCTCCTTCTTGCATACTCATCACTTATGGCCTAATATTACCCAGCCTTCAGGGCTTAGCTCAAGTGCTACTTCCTGCAGGAAGCCTTCCCAGCTTTATGTAGCCAGGTTATATTTCTCTCTTCCCTCTATTCCTCTGATCTATGCTTGCCCTGCAACCTATGTAGCATCTTCATAAAACACAGCAGTGTTTAGGAACTCAGATCTGGAGCCACACTGCTTGGTTCATAATCTTCCCTATGTGCTGCAGTTTCGTTGTTTGTAAAGTAGGATAATAATAGAATCTACTTAGCTGGGCTATTGTGAGGACAAAGTGAAACGACTTTCTTAAAGTGTCTTGTACATAATAAGAGTTATATAGGTGTTTACAACTACAATTATTACTAGTAGTATAAATCTATACTTCTCAGCCACTTCTAATAGACAGTAGCTCCTTGAGGTCAGGATCTATTCTTGATTAGTTTTGTCCCACACAAAGAATAGCACAGGGCTTAGGACACAATAACATGAATAAATAATGAATATAACATTCATTAGGTTTTTTTAGATGTTTGCATTCTAAGAGCAGAGGTTTCATGCAGCAAGGGAGGGAGGCAGGCAAGACCAGGCAGCAAGAGCTGAGAGAAACGGCCATTCTCCAGGCCAGCTTCTGCCAAAGCAGTCAGGGTTTCAAGGAGCCAAGTTAAACGGATTGGCCAGATTCAGACAAATGTCACCATCAATGGGGCTTAATCCATTAGAAAGACAGTGGCAGTGAGAAGCCACTATAGAAACAGAAACTGAATGTAAGACAGAGCTATAAGAATAGTTTGTAGGGCCCAGGAGCCAGTAATATCCAGAGCAATGGTCAGAAAGATATGTATTAAAATTCTGCCTCCACATGTGGCTGGTTATGTGACAGTGGGCCAGTGTGTAAGCTTATCTGTAAAATGAGAAAAATGATACCTAACATTCAGGATTGGCAGAAGGATTAGCAATAAGTAGCTGGTCAAATGTTGAACCCATAGCAGATGCTCAACAATTGGCATTGATTCTTGTTATTGTTATTGTTATACTTGGCAGGCTAGAGAGTGGCCTGTGAGCATAAGATTCAATTCCAAGTCCTAGGGATGGTGAGCCTGGCACAGCCTGAGATGATGCTGGACAGGACAAGGATGGACTCAGTCACTACCGCTGGCAAGGACTGAGAAAGCAGAGGCAGGGGCTTCACTCGGCCCTTCCATCTTAACATCTTTGCATACAAATTGACCATACAAATATTCTTTGATCCATTCCCCAAGAATAGCTCCACCTTCATTACTGGAATCACCCAACCAGAAAGCATAATCCTGTGATGCTTCCTTTGAAGGTAAGTTAAGCTGGGAACTGGGGAAAGAATGGGACAGAAAAAGGGAAGCCAGTTAAAGAGTAGAGATATTTTGGGGAATGAGAGAATACTTGAGTTGAAGTGATATAATTCCACAACAGCTTGCTGAAAAATGAGAAAATCACTCAATACACTTTGCCAAACAGCTGCTTTGATTGATTTTTTTAAACCCCGAACCAACCAAGTTGTCCAGTTGTCAGAATTGCACAGCCTAAGCCACAGACTGTGTTGCTCTCAGAAATAATGGATAGCTTGAAGCAAGCACTTCTAACAGGCCAAAGGATGGCAGTACGAATTCTGTGGGGAAAGGTGGAGGAAACAAAAATAAGCAGATTTTCCAAAGCTATTTCTAGCTATGTATCACCGGAAAAATCCCAAGTTCTTTAAGACTTAGTACAGATTATATTCACAGTCACAAACAAGGAGGGACCGACCCCAAAGAGCACAGAAGAATTACAAGTATTTTTCCAGCAATCAGATTGCACCGAGTTGGGGCTAGTTAGAGGTTCTCAGAACCCGTGATTTAAAGATATCATTCTTTTCTTTCAGATATCAGTAGTTAACAGACTTCTGAGCTTTTTTCCCCTCTACCTTTTCTTCTAAAAAGACATGGGGCCGTGATAAAAATTAGCTGAAAATAAAAGGACAGGGCGTTGTCGCCTCTTGTTTTTTTCCTTCTAAGTTACTTGTCAAGTCTTTTCCTGTGTATTAAAATGCACCCTCATTTTGAACTGGTTGCTGAGAACTAAAACTGAAAAGGGAGGCATGGAGGGAGGCTAGCCTTTAGGGGCAGGGTGGCCAACAGAAAGCCATCAACCAAATTACAGGTGTCTCCTCATTCATCTGCCCAGCTCTGAGGCCTTTGTATGCTCTAATTTCACATGATTGCATATTCCAGGGAAAATTTAAAAACACATAAATTTTATTTTATCAAAGTAACTCATGTTCACATTTTAAAAATCAAATACTACTAAAAGGTGTATAATGGAAAATTGCATTCCCCTGGCTCACCCCACAGTCTGGCCCCAGGCAGCAACTTGAAACACTTTGGTTATTTCTTCTGGTATCTAGCTCCACATCTCTGATAACATACTCTTAATGCTTTCCTCTTGATTCATCCTTTGAAGATATTATTTATTAATTTCCTGGCATTTTAGTTGATAATTTAGCTCTCTTATAGCACCCCGCCTCTTCTTCTATTGTCCCAATGCAGACATGGTTTCTGTTTTCTATTTGGGGATAACAAAACACGCCCAATATAGTGGCTTAGGAAGATAATGATTTATTATTTCTTGTGATGCTCTGTACCTGCTGGTGGTTTCTCTCCTGGTCTTACCTGGTTTCACTTATGTGACTGCATTCAGCTGGTGGACTGGCTTGGAAGCCGGGCTCCACAGGGGATTTCAATCAGAGCTTCCTGATTCTCTTCCACGTGTCTCACTTGGGCTTCCTCAGAGCATGGCAGACTCAGGCAGCATTCTAAAAGGAAATGTTTCAAAAGCTTGAAAACGGAAGCTACAAGGTCTCTTAAAGTCCGGCCTCAAAATGCTCTGGCATCACTTCAACCACATTGAATTGGTCAATGCAAGTGACAGGGCAAAGTGACACTCCAGGGGAAGGGAAATCAACTCCAACTCTTAATGAGGGGAGTGGCAAATTCTCATTGCAAAAGGCATGCAGGATGAAAGAGATGTGGAAATGGCTTACCGTAACTATATCTAAATCCATTTAATCAATATCAGTATTTACATTTTGTTTAAATATTATACACAGCAGAGCCAAGTTCAATAGTTATGGCTCAATTTTGCACAATGTACTTATTCTTCTTAGAGTTGATTATTATCTTGCTTTGTTTGCTTTTGGCATGAGTAGTCTGCAATGTACCTATCCTTACTTTCTCCATCAGATCAATCATATGTTCACTTTTCGAATGTATCAGACTGCCAGGAGAACCTCTTTCCCAGAGGTTTCTACTGCAATCTGAAATGACTTCTGTCTAGATCTGCTACAAAGTTGTCATCTTGTGACTTCTCTTCACCACTTTTCTGTGTTGAGTTTCTCTTTTCTGGCTGCTTCTTCCTTTAAAATAAAAACTCCTTTATTTTTCATATCTCCAGTTGCTTGCTAATAAAGGTAGGGGAGTAATAAACATTTTGAGCTCATCTTTTCAAAGCATCTTTAATCTCCAAGATTAAAAAAAATCTGTGACACCAGGCACACAAAATTGAAATTATGACTTTACAACAGCAAGTTTTCATCACACCGAAGAAGAATGGGGTCAGTTTCCTGAGGTCAATGTAATCGTATAGGGAGCTCTAATGAGTGGAGAGTTTAAACGATATATATAAAAAGGGGAAATGATGAAGGTGACCAACTGGTCAGAAAATAATAGATTTACGTGACTCTCGTAAGTGTGAAGGACAGCAACAAGGACTTTCTTCATTTTGTGAGATGCAAGAAGGAAGTATTAAAACTGTCATAATTTTTATATGAAAACATATGATATAATTTTTAATGAAAACTGAACTTTACAACCCATATTTTGTTTTTATGTTTAAAAGAGAATATTGTCAATGCTAGAAAGGGCAGACAAAACGTGGATTTGAGGAGACTCCCCACTGATAGTTTATTCTCTCCTTCAGGATATAGGGGAGGATTATCATTACTGCCTCTTAAAGTCTGGCTTGATCATACAATTTGCTTAGGCCATGAAATGTCACTAGAAGTGATATGGATCATTTTGAGTTTGAAATCATAAATTGTCTGTGCATGACTGTCCAGTGAGGTCTTCCAGTTATTGTGATCATGTAAATCCATTTTGATACTTAAATGCAATACTGAGATTATTGATGTTATTTGTTACTGCAGCATAACCTAGTCTAATCCAACTAAAATGAGAAAAGTGGAGCCAAACACTGGTGAAGTAATCATAAGAAAATATCAGGATGTTTTTAATGTGTTTCCTGGCCTAGAAAAGTTACATACCAAGCAATGTATATATTCATTAAAAGCACAATCCTTGGAGTCAGAGACCTAGCTTTGAACCTTGACTTCACTACTTCCTATCTGGGTGAACTTGGGCAAATATTTAGCTCTTTTAGTCCTGGCTTCCTGATTTATAATTTAAGATATTAATGTCTACTTTATAAATTTGGGATCATTAGGTAAGATAATATATATCAGGTATCTAAGCAGTATTTATACATTGCAGCTTTTCAGTAAATGGTGGTGGTTGTTATTGTTAAGAAAACTTCCCAAATGTATCATTAAAACCCTGCCAGAAATCTTGGAAGAATTAAGATAGAAATATTATCATTCCTTACCAAAAGGACTATGCTATAAAAATATGTAATGTGTTTAATGTCTATCCCAAGTAGTTTTCTGGAACAAATGATAACATTGAGTATTTGTGAATGACAAGAGGTAGGAAAAAGATAGGAGAAGGAAAAAGAAATATGAGAGAAATAATAGGTTCATGAAACAGATTTACTTAAGGTTTTCTTTTTGAAAATAAGATGGTAAGAATGGTACATTTAGGGAAAACTATAGCTATCGCATACCTGACCACACCAAAACATTTCATAATGCTTTCCTTTAATAATTATAGATAAAAGTATAGAAATGAGGATATCTTTGCAATATAGTACAATGGATTTATAACTGAAAAGACCGATACTGCTACATGTCAGTGGAGGCATGAAATGGGGCTCTGTCTTGGCATTCATTTTTCATTCATTCACTCAGAATTATTTACCGAACACCTACTACGTACGAGGTGTTATGCTAGGCACGGGAGACGTGGCAGAAACCAAACACGCTGTTGTTAATTGATTCAAGTTGAAGATTTAGATGAAGGCATAGAATGTTGAACCAAATCCTCTTTGACACAAAATTGGCGAGGGAGTCAATACACTGAAAAGAATGATCCAGATTAAAAATGATGTCAACAGATTATAGCAGTAGATCAACTCTAGCATTTAGTCATGCTACTCCTGAGAATTTATTTAATCTCTCTGAGCCTTAGCTTCCTTGTAGATAAAATGTAAGCACTGATATATGCTGATTGATTTGTCTTGAACTTTAAAGATAATGTATATAAAGAATATAGCACAGTGCCTGGAATATATTAGATGCTTAAAACTTAATAGTTTTTTTTTTTTAATATGGAAAATATCTTTCCACAAAGAGTCACTTTTTTTCATGTGTGCAAGGATTCTCAGAATGTACCAGAAGGCCAAGAAGTAAAGTGAATGGTTCAAGGTCAAAATTCCTCTGTATCCACAGAGGAATTCCTACTCCTGTCATTTTAGGCTAGTTACAATTATTTGAAATCAATATATATATATTTTTTTAACTTGGCGATATTTCTTTTACTGAGACATTATCTTACCCTATCAAGAAGATGCTTTTCTGTAACCTAACACAGGTTAGATGAAGAAAAGTATGAACAGCATGAGCAGCCTTTTCCTTGGCAACTCAAAGGACGAATAGGCTGAATGAAGTGAAATAAAGTAAGACTAAGCATCTGCCTGCTCTATGGTCCTCATTTCTTTAGTGAGGAAACAGGTTCAGAGGTGTTAAGTGACTTTTCAAAGCACACTAGTAAATACTAGAAACAAGACTCAGGTCCAGGTCTCTGTGATTCCATTTCCCGTGCTCTTTCTCTTACATCGCAATGCCTCTGGCATGTCTTTCTGCCTGAGATGAGCCTCAGAGTCCTTAGCATTTCCTCAAAATTATCCACTCACGAGTGTATCGTACTTGGCTAATTCCTACTCCCCAGAGAACAGCCCCCTCTATGGGGCCTTTTCTTTGTTATGTCAATATAATAGCAACACAAAGTTATCAGTCAATAAGTTATTAGGCAAAAAATTTATTAGGCAATAAATTTTGAGCTATTAAAATCTCACCATCTTAACGATACTATTTTAATTGTGTTTACATGCATACATATTCTTAAGTAATTATAATCATATGCATATAATTTTGTATCATTTATTTATTCACTCATTAAATGCATTATTTATTGAGTGTCCACTATGTTCCAGGTACCATCTTAGGAGCGAGAACTACAGCAAGGGACAGTGATAAAGTCACTGAGATTATATGTGATAGAGGAGACAAACAATATAAATAAGTAAAATATTTTGCATATTAGATGATAAATGCTAAAGAGAAAAAAAAGTTAAGCAAAGGAGGTTTGGGTGGGGGTAAGAGGTACAGTTGAAATTTTAGATTGATTCCAGGACATGTTTTACTGAAAATCTAACATCTAAGTAAAGACCTGAAGGAAGTAGGAGAGTGAGCCCTATGCCTATCTGCTGTGTGGTAGGCAGAATTCTAAAACAATCCCAAGGCCCTAATTTGCCCCTAGGTTTGAGTTCCATGAATATGTTACATTATATGCAAAAAGGGATTTCGTAGATATTAACTTTAAGATAGGGAGATTATGCATGTAGGCCTTATCTAATCACGTGACCCCATAAAAGAGAGTTTTTGCCAGTTGGTAGCAAAACAGAAAGCCAAATTTGAAGGGTAAGAGGAACACAACACAAGGGAGGTTTTCCGTTGCTGAAATGATGCGAGCCACGTGGAAGGGCCTGGGAGAAGCCTCTAGGAATTGGCAGTGAACCCCAGTCAACAGCCAGCAAGAAGATGAGATCCTCAGTCCCGCAACGGCTGAAAGTGAATTCTGCCAACAAGGTGAATGATCCTGAAAGCAACTTCTTCCCAGAGTCCCCAGAGGAGAGAGTCCAGCAGGCCTTCACCTTGATTTCAGGGTGTATGGAGCCGACTCTACCAAATGTAGAGAAGTGAGGACATAGAGGTAAGGGCACTGTTTCATGCTTGTATTCCTAATGATAACAACATATTCCTTAGTTACACAATAATCTCATGTGTACTACAATTTACTTAGACCTTCCCCTCTGACTAATTCTGTTGCTTCAAGTCTTTTTGATATTAGATACTGCTGCAACAAATACCTTCATACATTTAAAAATATTTTCTATGAATACAAGAATAAAGGTTTCTACCAATTTGTTTCCTCATACAATTTCCATTCATTGATTTTTGAAAGAGGTAATGTTGCTTATTAAGCTACTGACAGGTGAGGTAATCAATTGAAAGAGATTTCAGACTTGATTTGGATCATAACTTGCTCTTCTTTAATCCCTTGCCTGGTGTCTCAGGTGCTTCATCTAAGAAATGAAGACAGAATCTGGCATTGTATCAAAATAAAAATTTATAAAGCATTTATAGAAGTGCCTCCTTGAATTTCTTATTAACCTACATCTATATATTTTCGTTTTAAACAACTTAAAAAATTGCTGTACAATGCAAAGAAATCAATTGGATTAAGCAGTCCTCAACCATTTTATTAGCATGCTGTGTAACCTTGAGTAAGTTACTTCACCTCTTTGTGGCTTAGTTTCTGGATTTATATAGTGAGGAACTTAGAATAATTTTTTAGCCAATTCCTGCATGCTGGGAGTATCGAAGATCTCTGACATAACTACCTACCAAATCACACATGGGACCTGGTAAATCCTATCATCTCTGTGCAGATACAGTGGGTCTACATTTTACCCTAAAATCAAGTATTCCTGACCAACTTTTCAGTTACCCGCTTTTTATAGTTCCCTATTCCATTTTGTTTTCTGTCATCTCTTCAAATAGTTACATCTTAGCTTCTACTTTTAAAATGAAAAATTAAACCCAGGTGTCTTCTTCTCCACCAAAAATACCATTGGTTGTAGAATTATAGACATTAAAAATAGGTACGTATACCACTGAAAAGCATATCCCAATAAATAGCCCTCTGAGAAATTTAACCAAGGTCCAAAGAGTCAAAGCACAAGTAAGTGAGGAGTGAGAAGGGTGATAAAGTCACAGATCTGGAAGATATTTAAATACTCATAAATAAATAACAACTGCTTCTTTATTTATGTGTTTATATATTTTGTCTTTAATATTTATTTAAAACAATTTAATGTCTGTAAATTATTCCATTATATTTAATTGTTTTAACCATCCTTTTATTCTTAGATATTTAGATTATATTCTTTAATTTTACCATAAATATTTTTAGGAATATCCTTATATAAGACTCTGCACAGCTGAAAATTATTTGGAATACATCTTTACAAGTTGAATTGCTGGGTTAAGGGTGTAAACTATTTTAGGCATTGTAATGTATCTAACCTAATTGGTTTTCGAGAAATTTATCTGATGCTCCAAACAGCATCAGATGAGGATTCATTTGATGATACCTTTGCTAGCATAGGTTATTTTTAAAACTTTGCCAATATGATAAGTTAAAATCAATTAATTGTTCATTTGGCTTTCTTCGATTGCCAGTGGGGATGAACTTGTTTTTATTGTCATTTGTGTTTCCTCTACTCATTTTTACATACTGAACAATTTTGGATATTGTTGACACTGTGAATGTCGTATTGTAGAGACTCTGGATTCTTTTATATTCTTCCAAAGAGTGTTGACTTCTTTGAGCAGGAAATTAACTTGACTTCAAACTGCAAACTCTTTCTCTTGAGATTAATAACTAAAATCTCAGTTTAGTTAGGTAGCCTCAACTAGACTTGTAATTTGTTTCATGTGTGCATGGTTCAAGGGTCAACCAGATATCTGAATCTAGTCATATACAAAACTTAGAGCTCCCCTCTTTGGTTCTCTACTTGTCAATATTCCCATAACCTAACCCTCACTTTCTGGACTCTCTGGTTGCCCTGAACTCTGTTTACTGATTCTACAAAGAAGATCAATTCCAGCTTTTATATCTGCATTTTAGCCAACCGAAATAACACAGACTAGGGCTTACTTTCTGCCTAAAAGTCATACACACAATCTTTTATATAAAATCTTTGATATTTTTATTTTAGAGTTGTTATCTACAGAAGAGCTTATCTGATATGAGTTTCTTGGTTATTACCCAAAGGAAAATCCTAGGACTATAGACAATTAATTTTCGCTTCAGAAAATTTTCCCTCCTGTTTTCCCTCCTGTTTTTTCTGTTTTTAAGATGTAAAGTAATTCCCAAGCACACCTGAAGTAAGTTAAATTTCTCAGAATTCTAATGCTTCTCTTTGAACATATTTGGGGAATGTTTCCCACAAAAGTTGTTCCTGGTAACTAGAGCTGCCTAGTTAGTTTCAAGCATACACAGAGAACTGCACCTTAGTTCATATTGAACAAGATAACGATGGCACTGGGGGACAACGGGGCCCAGAAACCTATTAAATCTGAGTTAGAAAGGGATTTTCTTCAACTGGCTGGTGGAGACCATAAGCAGAGGCTCTGACCACAGAGACATCAATGCTGGCCCCATACTTTCTTCTTGAATTTGAACAAGGATCAATGACTACGAGACCAATCTAATATGATCCCTGGATGGCTTTCCCATTTGCACTACTTCGTGCTTAGCAACAATCCTTATCTATGATTCCCTGGCACAAGAAATATGATACTTTGCAGCTAACAGGTATTTGTTAAGATCCTCCATATTTCTTTTCATTAGAACTTACTTAATTGAACCCATCCTTTTCCTTATCAGAAACCCACAGGCCAAAATGGGGAAAACCCACTGAAGATAACATAAGAAGGGACAGAGCTGCAATTAGAATGCAATTGCACTGACCCTCATTCTTGCAATCTGACTCTCAGCTACACATTCAATATTTCAGAGACACTGTGTTGTATGGTGTGTCCTCAACCTTCCTCAAGGTTAGACTCTAAAGTTTTTGGAGTGGAAGAAAACAGTCTACTCAGTTATGTGATCACAATCTCCTGTATTCAGCGATATGACAGTGTGATCATTGCATTTAATGGTTGGCTGTTCTCCAGAATCAGGTGAGCAAGTAAGGGCATGTGGTCTCTCTTACAACTCTGTTCTCTTTGCTTCCTCACCTCCTTCCTTGTCATTCATTACCATCTCTTTAGCTCTGTGTTCTCCCTCCATGTATGTTCCATAGGAATCAAATGCAAAAAAATACTAGTCAAGATGTAAGTCAAGTAGCAAAAAGAAATAGGCCAGGCCAAAGTTAGGTCAAGTTTGAATTATAAACTTCCACTCCTAGGAAGTGTTTGGTTTTCATGTGCAGTAATTTCAATCATTCACTAGTCTAAAAATACACGAACATGTCCTTACTCATCAGCCTTCCTCAATTATGCTACAGGAAATGGAACTGAGCCATTCGGTTTGAAGAAAAAGCTTCTCCATGCTCAGAAATACCTTCCTTAAGACCTCAATACCAGCTCAGGCAAATCTCGTGGGACATCAAAGTCCTCAGTGTGGAAAAGTCAGAGAAGATGAAATTTCACATTTAAGAACTGAAAATAAATAAATAAAACCTGTCTGTCTTCAACGCCCTATAAGATCTCCCTTGTCTCCAGGCAGGAGAGATTCCTCAGGTGTTACCCACTTTATCATAGCATTCCTCATCTCTCCTTTTATCTTGTGCCCTTCTCCTCTTTCCAAGATCATAAATCAACAGAGACAGGTCTTCATTCTTCTTTAAAAGGGAAGGGGAGAAGTCTAGACTTCTCCTATTCCATGGCTAAGTGAACAATCTGATAAATCTAACTACCTGCTTCTCAGGTAAAAACTGGAAATATTGCAAAGCCCGAGTGAGCAATCTGTAGCCAAGAACTCTGTGGCGCTGGTTCAAAGCCTTTTTCACATTCTTCACCACTGCAACAGCAGAAGGAAGCCCATCTGGGAAAATTGCAGATTGGTTCAAGAGACTTCAGAGTCCAGAGAGGGGTCAGAGTCAAATCCACGAGTGTGTGACAGCTGAAATTGTCCATGATTTACTAATTGCTGAAGGCAGCAACCTGGCCATAAAGAGCAAAGGCCAAAGGGAAGGCTTGGTGCCCGTTGCTGGCATTAGGTTTCTGTCTAGAAAAGGAGAACACAGCAGAAAACTGAAAAACATTTGGAACTAATTAGTGAGAATAAGGAAACTTGAGGCAAAGAGGTGGGGGTGGGATCAGAGCTGTATTATTCCTTAAAATAAGAAATAGTTGATCAACTTTACCAAAGGCTCTGCTTCCCCTTATCTTTCTTGTCCTCAACATAACTTATATATAGCTGATTAAAGCCTCATCTTTCAGCTTCCTGCTATATGAAGGATCTTATCTGCAGAATAATACAGCTTTAAAAAATGAAAGGAATTAACATACATTACCGTTTTCCTCAAGGATGGTCTGGACTTGGGAATGTGGGAGACGTCAAGGAAAGAATTGACTTTTAGAGTCAGACAGACATAAACTCAAATTTTTGCTCCACTGCTTACAAGCTATGTGACCCTGAGAAAGTTAAACATTTCCACTGAGATTCTCATCTACAAAAGTCAGCCAATACCAATTCTTTCACATGACTGACATGAAGACGAAATGTGAAAATGCAACCCCCACATCGTGCTCAGCACACAGCTGTGCTCATTAATTAGAAGTCTCTTTTCTTTATGCCTTATAAAAAAATTACATTTAAAAAGTCATTTTATCAATCTGTCATTCCAATCAAGGCATACAACAAAGCCACAGTACTTAAAACAGTGTGGTGTTATTTCAAGAGGCATACATATCAATGGTAAAAATTAAGAATCCAAAGAATTGTCGTATTCATAGGAAGAAATAAATTCAAGTTGAATTAAGAACACATATTTGGGAAAATAAAACTATTTTTATGCCAAGAGAATTAAGGACAATAATAAGGATGAGCATTTGAAGCTTTCAAATAATTCTTACATGTCTGTAAAAAAAAGTCCAAATGCCAATGAAAATATGGTTTAAAGGACACAAATAGGTAATCATAGAAGGTAAAATCAGAATTGCTCTATGAATAAAGGCTCTACTTGATTCATAATCAGTGTGGCAAAGATTAAAAAGTTTGATAATATCAAGTATAGGCAAGCAAGAAGTGGGGGTGGGGTGGGGAGGGAGAAAAGGATAAAATTAAACACAACTGCTTATGACCCTAAAATTAACACTCAATATGAAGGGCAAGATGGTGGTACCTATAAAATTACTGACCCTAGGCTTCAGTAATTTCTTTCTGCGTATCTGTCCTGGATAAAGACTTGCATATACACACAAAAGATATGATGCAGTATTGTTTAAGACATGAAAAATATTTTTAAATATTTATCCACAGTGGACTAAATTAATACAATTTCATAAACATGAAAATTACTATAAAATGTCCAAAAATATTAGTATTAACATGAATCACTCACAAAAACTCAGAAACCTATATTTTATATTTCTCCCAATATATCAATATGTATAGAAAACATAAAAAATTTGAGAAACACATGAGACAAATTAATTATAGAGTACACTCTTAGTATTGATGGAAGGACATCGGTTGGGGACAGAAGTTTTCAGGATACTATATTTTAATCTGTAATGGTCTAAATGTCTTAAGTTAAAACTGGTTTATGTATTATTTGCATAAATTTAAAATTAAATAGGTACAAATCTTGAAAAAAGATAAAATACAAATAATTTAAAAATGTTGACAGTGATTTATTTGGGGTGGGGTGGGGAGGGAGTATGGGTGATTATTATTTCTTCTTTGCATACCCTTATAGTTTTAAAAAAATTTCCAAAGAAGAAAAATGATCACCATTATCCAACGATACTCATAAAATCCCAGGTTATGGCACTAGATACCAAACTAAACTGGTTCAGAAAAAAAATGTTCTTGCTCAGTTTTGCAAGCTCAATCTCATTTAACTCTTGTATTAATCCTGTAAAGTAGATATTATTATCTCCATTGATAGATAAGGAAATTGAGGTTCCAAGAAGCTAGGTAATTTGCCCAAGCTCACACAACTACACAGTCACAGAGCTGATAGTCCAATATATCTTTAGATACCAAGGGTAATACTTTTCCCACCATATCAGAGCTACCTCAATGCAAGTATTATTACATGCTACTTTTCCTTAAAACAAACTATGAAACTCATTTAAAAAAAAAATTATAAAGATGCTTCACTGCTAAATGATTTTGAAATCTAAGGACCAGATGACTTAAATAAATTTTTTAAATAAGCATTTTATGGCCATATTTGCACTTAAATATAGGAGTTAAATATAGGAGTTAAAGCAAGAAGAATATTCTTTTTTGGGAGAAGAATATTACTGGTCCCAAATAAGTTAGTGTGTAGAAAAGTCATTTGCACAAAAAGAAAAATTCTCTGTTCAAACATAATATTCTTATGCAGTGTGATAAAGCAGCATAGGGTTCCACTGAACCAATTGTTAGCTAGAAGTATATTAGTGGGATCTCAATTCAAGCTAGCCTAAGACCACAAGAATTTATTGGCTTACACAACTAGTTTCAGGCACATTTGCATCATCCAGAGGTTCAAAGGATGTTACTAGATCTCGCGCGCGCGTGTGTTCTCTCTCTCTCTCTCTCTCTCTCTCTCCCCCTCTCTCCCTCTCTCCCTCCCTCCCTCCCTCCCTCCTTCATTCCCTCTCCTCTCTCTCCATTTCTCTGTGTTTTTAAGTATGCTCTAGGCAAGTGGTAGTACATATAACTTTCAAGTTCTCTCAGTTTCCAGAGATATACTCCCATGCAATCTCAAGAAAAGTCCCTCTTTCTCTCCATGTGAGACCCTGAGAAATAAGTCGGCCATACTATGGCCATCAGTGTAGAGAGTGGGATTGCCAGTCTTGTGTCTTTGTTACCTCCCTTTACCCCCAGGGGAGATGGATTCAGTCCCACTCAAACCAAAGACATACAATTGATTATAGAATGGGTAAAGAAAAGTTAACCAAACCAGAGGAATTCCAGGCAGACAAAAAGCATATGACCACATACAATCGGCTTTTGAATGTGTTAGGTGTGTGACCACTGGAAAACCAGTGGGTTAACCTATGGAAGAGAGGAGACATCCATAACAGCTACCTCACAGTGTTCTCCTAAGGATTAAAGAGTTGCTAGAGAGAAAATGTCCCTAACACAGAATCTGCCAGATAGAAAGTGTCTTATGAAGTTTGTTTTACTAATTGATTATTCAAAAGTGGGTGGTTCGGAACTACTTATATCACCTTACCACAGAGGCTTTATCAATTAACAAGTCCAACTGAACAATATAGCAATCCCGTCGAATGTGGAATAGAATTGCGAGCCCATTTCAAGTTGTCCTTTGCAAATATACCGAAAGCCAAGAGGCTGCATAGCCTGGGAGTCATAACTATCACAATAACAAAAACTGCAGTGACATTGATTGCATGCCGACCGTGTGCCAAGGAGTCTGGTAAGTGCTTAACATGCATTTTTCATGTAATCTTTACCATAACTAACAAAAGTAGATATTATTACCATTTCCATTTTACAGATGAAAAAACAGATGTAGTGAGGCCAAGTAATTTGCCCAAGGTGAAGCAAGTGACAGGGGTTGGACTCCCACTTGGTTGTGTTTGACTCGAGAGCCTAAGCTCTTAACCATGCATTGTTCTGTCTCACACTGCCCTGCACAGCCTCATAATACCCCGAGGAGAAGACTCAACATGAAATAGCATTTGGCTGCATTCCAATCCGTCAACACATTCATCACTAGATGCACAAAGAGAGCAGGTAGGTTGGATTCCCTGTGCTGAACAAAACAATTCAGGCAAATACATGCACTGACCTCTAACTTGATTTGGAGATTTAGCATCTCCATCTCGAAGACTTTCCTAACATTTCAGCTGCTGTCTTTAATAGGACATTTTGTTGATGGGGTCAAGAGGGATCAAAAAGAGTTTATCTTCTTAGTTTCTTTTTCTTTTGTTAAAAAAAAAAAGAATTTAACCATAATGGTTCTGGAGCTATTTCTCATTGGTAAAATTATGGAGCTGCATACTGATTCAGAGAAGTGTGGGGACGCTGGGCACAGATGGCTTTAATTATTTGGGCAGCCATTGACAGATGTGATGGTCTAGGTTTCTGCTGCCTTGGACAGGTGTAAGCTATAGAATTTACCCAGAGGGAGTCGTGGAGAGCCAGAATTGGCGAGAGCCCTGTGATGGCCCTTTATTTTGTCTTAATCCACTCCTAGGTACATAGTTATCATATTTCTTTGCCTCGAGGCATGGTCAAGTCAGTCAAAACCATCAAACCAAGTTTGTGTGCAGAAAAGAAAATCTTAAAGAGAGAAATACACTGTCAGCAATTGGTCCCAAACTCTGCTCAGTACTTTTATTCAGAAGCCTTCTCATTAATTATGGCTTCATAAACAAAAGGATATATGTATATGTCCCTCCTTCTGGATTAAAACAAGCATGTTTACTTCTCTGGTTATAGTCCACACAAATAATTTCAAAGAATTGAATGTCAGCCTGTGAAACCCTTCATTATTTGTCCAACAAATTTATTGAGCAAATTATAGAGTAGGAAGAGAAAGCAGACATACTCCTGGCTTTTAAGTGAGCCTTAGGAGGAGGTTTCAGACCTCTGGGCTGATGTGAATATGAGTGTCAGGACTTACTCTATCAAGGCACTGTTCTAGTCTCTGTGGTGATCAAAATATCTCCTCTCCCCATGGAGTGTCCATTCTAACTGGGGAGATGGACTATGAAAGTCCCATTTCTTTATCTCTCCATATATAAACACATACACACACATACACATATATATACACACATGTACATGTATGTATGTATATATGTAAATACATTGGTGGGTATATATATGTATGTATTAGATGGGTAAATGTAGTTTACTAGTTGCTATAACAGATTATATCTAAGGAATTATGACTAGATGTGTATGTGAGTTCACACAGAAACTCTGCTGAGGAAGATATTTAAGTGGGGCTGAATATAACAGAGAGATTACCATGTGGGAGAAAAAGAAGATATTTCGGGTCCTCCTACTCTTACTTTGAAAAATCAGAGTGATGACTCAGCACCTATTATTGGCTGAATTGTGTCTCCCCAAACTTATCTGTAGAAGTCCCAACTCCCAGAACCTCAGAATGTAACTGAATTTGGAAATAAGATCTTCAAAAAGTGATTAAATTCAAACGAGACCATAAGGGTGGGGACCTAATAATTCAATATGGCTGGTATTCTCATAAGAAGAGGAACAGATACCAGGGATAATGGCAGAGAGAGAGGGCCATGTGAGGACAGTGAGAAACCAACCAACCATGCTAGCGCCTCAATCTTGGATTTCTAGCTTCCAGAACTGTGAGAGAATAGATTTCCGTTGTTTAAGCCCCCCGGTCTGTGTCATTTTGTTACGGCGGCTGGACCAATACAGCGCCTCGTGTTCAGATT